TTCAAAGGTTCGAGCAAGCACAAAGAACATATTGAAAGTATATTCATTTATGTCCTCAACATGTAAATCTATAATATAAATCAATGTTCTAAGTGCATATAAAGTGTGATCTTCTTGGCATGTTTTTCTCACATTTGGTATCAAAGTATATTTTATATGTTTTTGGACCTGGTTGTCAGTTATTATTAGTTCATTAATTCTTAATGGATTGTTATGATGTTGGATTAAGGTGAATGAGTGTTGGATTATTTTAAATTGTTAATTGCATTCATATTGTTGGTAAATTTATGTTGGGTGATTAATTGATTAATTCAATCATATATTCAATACGTTATGCACATAGATTGAATTTGTGTTATTATGTATTTTTGTTAATTATTACACATATTTTGAATTACTTAATGGATATTCATTATATCACTGTTAATCATATTAAAATTTTAATTATTATCCACGTTTGCCCTAACTCAATTTTATTGAGAATATTGTTATTCATGGTGTTGGTAATGATTTTCTATGGTTGAGCTTGTAGAATTATAATTAAAAAAAATTAGAGATAAGCTTTACACAATTGAGTTGTTTGGCCAATGTGATACTAATAGACTTAAGATGTGAATTTTGATTGTAATTATCTATTCTTAGTTACATTAATAGTTTTACATTTGCAATTGAAAAACATGTGATGTTAACCTTAGTTGTCAGGGTAGCAAATTTCATTGCTATAAGGTTGAACACATGTGCACTATGGTGATACTTAATATTTAGATATAATTTTTGCAATAATTTTTAAGTTTTGAATTGATGATATTAATTGTTAATTATTATGTGCTTCTATAATTGCTAATTTCATTTGAATGAATATATTAACCTATTAAAATTAATTTATGTTTGTGAGATGGACATATTCATTTAACTATTATGGATTGTTTTTAAAAAAATAAAATACTAAAAAAGAATTTTGAAGTGGGACATATCTACTTGGAGAGACACTCGTATAGTTATATATATTTGAACATATTCAAAGGTTTATGCAATACATAAAGAACGCATTGATGTTCATCCAATTATGTTTTCAACAAGTGGATAATTTAAAATCAATATTCTAAATGCATATAAAGAATAGGTTAAAAACTTATTTTCGTCCCTTACATTATTTAATATTTTCAATTTAGTCTCACTTTAATTTTTGGTCTCAATTTGGTCCTCAATAACTTAAATCGTTTCAATTTGGGACTTCCGTTCAAATGATTTAGACGGAGTTAACTGTTGGCCACGTGACATCTACGTGGATGCGCACGTGGACGCCAAAATTTTTGAAAAAATCTGAAACTAGAACGACCAGAACGGGCCGTTCTAGAACGGCCCATTCTGAATTCAGAACGGCTCGTTCCAGAACGCCATGCTTTTTTTATTATATATTTTTTTATTATATCTATATTAATAAATATATAATAAATGAAAAATAAAATAAATTAATATTCGTTTATGAATAAAACTAAAAAAAAAATCAAATAAAATAAGACCTTCTAAAATATTTCTTTGATTTGAATTTATCCAGTTCAAAATCTTGACTAAAATGTCACAATGTATTTCAAAAATTGAAAATAAAATTCAGGGTTTAGGGGTACCTCCTCAAGAACAGGTTATTGTTGGGGTACATCGTTAATGACTTTAAGAAAAAATACTGTTTCGTTTTATCCTTGACTGTATAGTGTCAATTTGATAGTAAGTGGTTCACTTCAGTTTGACTAACAATGAAATAAAACTTGTTACCATTGTCCTTAGTGATACACTGGATCATCCTTAATAATATACTGTATAGCCCAAATGTTTAGCGATTGAAGTTATTAATCCTCATTAATAATATGACTAAATCTAGTGTTTGAAATGCTTTGTATTTTTCCTAAAAAAAATGCTTTGTATTTTGGTCACGAAATTCTGGACTAGAACGGTCCGTTCTGAAGCCAGAACGGCCCATTCTGGTTACACTGTTGATGTGTTAATTTTGGATCTGGAACGGCCCGTTCCAGGTGAAAATTTTACACACCATTTATATAACCATAACGGGCCGTTCTGGTTTCAGAACGGGCCATTCTAGTTCCAGGTGTATTCAAGTATTTTTTGATCCACCTACGTGGCATCTACCTGGCATCCACGTGGCCACCAGTTAACTCCGTCTAAATCTTTTAGACGGAAGTCCCAAATTGGAACGATTTAAATTATTGAAGACCAAATTGAGACTAAAAATTAAAGTGGGACTAAATTGAAAATATTAAATAATGTAAGGGACGAAAAGAGGTTTTTAACCTAAAGAATAATATTCTCGAATTTTTTCTTAGACAAATTTATAATTCATTTATACTAAACCAAAAATACGCTTAATTTGTTTGTTTAGTCCAAATAACTCTTAAGACAAAATTTAAATTAAATTGTGCTGCAAAAACCCCTACTTGAATTTATATATTAAAAAAATCATGTGAATATATGATTATGCGTGGCTTAATACAAAAACATGCCTTCTTTAGCAATACTCGGAAAGAACCGATGTGGATTGCACCCTTCCTTCTATCTATAGTGCGAGACTTAGTTGGAATCCAAATTGAGATTAGATGCATCATTTTCATTCTTAGATATGTGCAAGTTTTTCTTCATGAGTTGAAATGATTATCATGGGTCTAACATTTCACAGGCTTCTGAGCTTTGAACCTTTTGATCCATGATTACAAATTGGATAATATGTGAACTGATTGATACTGTTTTATTTATTTGACTCGAATGATTTTTTTCATATAATGTAATTGGGCTGTTTCAATCCTTAAAATTTCAACAGTGTATTTAGATTCTCAAATATTACGATATATGTAATTTTGATTATCTATTAATTTTTCATAAGAAAATTAATATTTTTTTGTCGAACTGGCATTGACAGATTAAGTGACACAAATGAAAACATTGACATAATCATGACAACCGACACAATTGCTGAGATATCAATGAAATTTAAACCTTTAACTCTCGCATAAACAGTTAATAACCGGGATAATATATGTTTTTTCAATACATAGAATGGAAGTTAAAATATAAACCTTAAATAAAAATTAATAATCTATATATATATATATAAATTATTACTAAATACATTTTTTTTACTATAAATGTTATTAGTTTTAATAAAATTATTCGTAATTTATACTATTAATATCAACAATATTATCTATATATCAATAATATACTATGTATATTATATATTATATATTAGAAGAAAAAATAGTCAGAAATATATGGTATAAATATAACTTTTGATGACTAAAATATGTAAATTAGATGTTAAATATTTATATTATGTGTTTTTAATTAACATTCTTTTAATATCTCCTTTTTTATATTTATATCTATTAAATTATTGGTTTATTTAATTATATATAATAAGAATATTTATAAATCATTATTATTAAATTACTAATGGATAAAAGGTATTTCGTACTTTATTTAACACACATACATTAATAGCGATAGTGGGTAGTTATTAAGAGATCCAAAGAAAAAAAATTAATATACTAAAAAGCTTTTTTTTAACCTTTGTTAATAATTATTATACTGTTTTTTTTAAAGAATTAAAATGGTCTAAAATAAAGAATCACTTTATATATATATATATATATATATTTTGGTGAACTTATATATATACATACGCGCATTTTGATTTATTTATTAATAAAATTAATTAACTTAGAATTTAAATGTTAGGTAGAGTTTAAGACACGGAATTAAAATCCAACTTCTAATATTTTGGCAAACAATATCTAAAATAAAGTTCAAATCATATAGCCGTGAGATGCTTAAAACATCAAATTTGAGAGGGATGGTTGCTGGAAAAAATAAAAATAAAAGAAGGAAAGGTTGCATGCCATAACAAAAGCTTGATTTCGACCAAATATTTGAAGAGTACGTAATAATTTATAAAATATCAGATTTTATGTTTGTTTAATTTTTGATTACATCATTTGTTATATTTTAAATTTCACTATTTCTTTCTCTGTTAATTGAAGAAATTGTTGTTTTCGATATTTAAATTATAATCGAAGCTCACTTGTATGTAGCTCTGAAAACCCATGTAGACGTGGGCCATACAAAAAAATAATTTGCACCATATTTAACTGCTTGGGTCCATTCATAAATTGAACTGGAAAACGATAGGATAAAGAAGTTGAAAGACAAAAGCAAATCAAGTAGGACCAATTAGTAATTCAATTAATAGAAAAAAAGAAAGAAAGAAGAAGGAAAGAATGCCATGTTGGCGGTATCATTTTCTGAGACACAGTTGAAACAAAATATCAAACAGTTTTAATTTTAAAATTTTTTACAAACTTAATCTATGCATTAAAAAATTTGAAATTAATGATTTAAACGTTAAAACTTAATACAAAATAAAATATTAAATGAAATAAAATTATATAAATTTATTTCTGAAATAAATAGATCCATCTTTATATTTATATATATTGTTTTATCCTTTGTTTACATTGCTGCTTTTTTCATTTATAAGATTATTTTTATATGTATGATGGTGGTTCAGTTTTTCACATACAATTGAGCCTGAAGCAGCATGTTTGCCAAATAAAAAGCACCAAGAACAAAAAAGACCACCAATACCATAGAGTGGTAACGTGAATACTAGCAGCCCAAATTGAGGCCCAATTCAATAAATAATCTGAAGCAGAAAACCAATAATGTAATCAACAATATATGGATACTTACATATTTTAAACACACACTTTCGCTTAGGCAATGACCAATTAATGAAGCATACCACTTCATATCTATTCAAAATATAACATCGTAATCGTGGCTACCAATTTATAAGGTTGTTTTATGTGACAAAGGCATAGTTATACATGTCAACTGGGAGTGCTATGAATTATGAAGAATTGAAATCGATATTTCCCCAACAAACTATCGCAATAGGCTTAAACACAGCAAAGATAAATAAGACCAGTGTAGAAGTCAAAGCACCAATCAAGGAACAGGCGAGTAAAATAAGGCAAGATCGTAAGCTCCTGCTTAAATCAAAAGGATGGAACATAAGACTGTGTACAACTTATTTATTATATATATATATATATATATATATATTTATTGGTGAAGGCGAGAAAAGAATATGTGGCTGTAAATGCAATAAAAAATAATGTAACGAAATACAGGTAAAGAAAACAAATGAATGTGTTGAAGTGGTAATAAGTAATAAGGCAAAGAGAGGATCGTAGAGGGATTAAAGAAGGAGTGTTCCGAAGGTTGAAGCATATGTTGGTGCAACTGCAAGAAGCAATAACAGCAGAGGAATGGATAGGTTGAGAGTGGAGGAGGAGGAGGCATTATCTGTGGTTGGCACGTTTCCTGCAATTGAATAGTTAACGGTGGACCATAAGTAATTAAATACGATTTCCTAAACTCGTTGTGTTTTACCTGAGGGATTCCAATTAGGAGATTCCGCTGGCGAAGCACCTGAAACAAACACATGATGCAAATTAATTAGATTTAATTAAATATAATGAATGTGGGCATGTGGGACTTCATTGGTATCTTAGTTACCACTTAGTACTTACCATTACAGAGAGAGATGGGTGGGGTTTGGATGTTGCAAGCAGAAGGCAAAGCGAGAGCTTGGGTTTGATTGATGTTGAGTCCGAGTGAAGATCCTCCTCCGTTAAGAACCTGACACAGGCACTGCCACTGGGGTTGGGACCTCACCACAGTGGCAAGCTGTGTGCAGCATGATGAAGATGGGGTGGAGGAGTTCCCGGAGATGTAGTCCAGGCACGGTGATAGGTTCAATAACACACTTGTGCAACTTGATTGTGTTTGTGCCACACCAACTGCGCACACCATGCTCATTACCACCAGAACCACACCCATCTCCATTTTCCCTTCTGCCACTGATACTTAATTTCTGCTGTCTTCGGGTACGACTAGGACGCCCTTTTATACAATACACGAGAGGTTAGGTGGAAGAACTAAGAACCCTCCATTCGCTATTAAGTGCCATTGAATTTTAGATTCTCATTCAAATCACTTTTACCTTGTATACAACGTTCCAATATGAGTCCGTTATACGTTATAATTAACGTGAGCATGAGGAAATTTTGTTGACGAAATTGTTATGTTTCAAGATACAACCACGGGACTTTGAATAAAACCAACTACGTCTTTCTTACGCTTCTTCGTCTATTCAATTTTGTTCTTATCGTTTCTCTTTGGGAATCCCAAATTAATATCAACAGAAGAAATTTGTGGGATGATAACAGCGTTACGTAACTAACCATTTCAACCAAATGGCCATACCAAATACATTCTCTTTCAATTACCATGTTTAAGCGTCTCTTATAAGTTGTATCAAAATCACCATGTTATGACGTATATAGAAAAAATATTAAAAAAATTTAAATTACACTTTGGATTTTTCTATAATATTAAATTTGTAATTTTGGTTTTTTTATTCATCTATTAACGTTAATTATATTTTTTTTGTCAATTCGTTAATTATAATTTAATATTAAGTAGAAGATATAATAATTCATATTTAAGAATATTCAAGTTAAATATTATAAATTTAATATTATAAAGAAATTCAAAATGTGTAATTAAAAAAATGACGTGACTAAATTAATTTCAACCACGTGTGATGTATATTTTAAATGCAATTCTTATCGTTAAATAATAAAAAGTAAAGTACGTTTTTCATTTTTAAGAGATGTGTTTTTTTTTTCCACCCCTTTTTATTTAAAGCATATGCCCTTTCTTTTAAAAGATGATGAACAAGTGTTCAGTTTTAAATTATTTTAATATGAATAAATTTTTAAATGTGTTTTTTTTTCTTCCTCGTGATCATTCTTGACATGATTAATAGCTACTTTTAAACATTCTCTAAAAAAATAGAGCTACTTTTAATCATTTGCTACTTTTATAATTGATAGGATTTGAATTTAAATACGTATCTGCGTTAAATATCTTAATAGAGAACTTTTAAAGTAATGTTTATTTTTTAGTGAGACATTTAATGTAATCTTTATATATAAATATTAAACTTGAGGGAAAAAAATATTAATAAGACATTCAATTCTTTTTATGTAATATCTATACACATAGATAGAAAGTTTTTATATAAGTAAAAAAAAAAGAGAAATATTTTATGTAGTACGACACAAAATTGTTATATATTTTTTAAAAAATACTATATAAAATAAATTTCAAAATTTTATTAAATGGAAAAGTAAACTATAACCGAAAAGAAATATTCATGTAGTATTTATTTAATAAACTTTTTCCTTTATAGTATGACACAATTTTAGTCATTTAATTTAGACACTATAAAATTACTTAATTAAACATGTTTTAAAAAATAAAATAAATAAATGTAACTTACAATGAAGAGTTTAATAAATTACATGAACTATAATACTACTATTTGATATATTTTCCTTTTTTGTTTAAATATATTTTTGCTTATCCAATTTTTCTTTTTCTTTTTTGGATTTTTTGCTTTTAGTGTTGTTTTCACTTTCTTCCCAAAAGGCAGGTTTGGATCTAAGGCCATTTGACGCGTTCGATCATTGGATAGCAGCCAGGCTTGGGCTTAGCTAATTTTTAGTTGGATTTTAACATAGGCCATGATATATACATCTCTTATCTTTTATAAATACACCTCCTATTTTTAATAAATAGACTTTCTATGCCTTTTTCCTAAGAGAATTCCTGAAATGTTCTTAAAAACTAAAAAATAAAACTTAAATATATTTTAGAAATAAAGGGCCCAAGATTAGAAACAAACACAAAAAATAGGGGTGAATATATCATGAACCGTCAACAGAATATGAAAATAAAGGGCCCAAGACTGGAAACAAACACAAAAACTAAACGGACCAAACAGATGCAAGATCATACGGAAAGATTAGATTAAAAAAAAAAACAACAACTTAAAAATATATTTTTAAGTCCATATAAATATCGTCCTGTATGATTTTTAGTCTTTATAATTTTTTTTTAATTTTTAGATCCTTACTTTTAGTCTTTGCAAATTCTTTTTTTATTACTTTTAGTTTCTTAACTTTTTTTAGTTTTGTTTTATTAACTCTAGTTAATTTAGTGTTGATATGTTCAATAAAATAAAGAATATTGATTAAAATAATTAATGTAATAAAAAAATTTGAATTATGATGACTAGATTACTTTTAAGTGCCTAATTTAATTAAACAATATTTTTTATTATTTATATAAATAAGGTAATAGATATAATTTATTTCTAAAATTTATTTTAATTCTATATTATTTTCAATAGTTTTTTTTTATTTTTATTTTTTATAAATTTTAACATTCTTACATTTCAATTAACTAATTTACTTTTAGCATTGTATTTTAAAAAATTATCATTTACTTCGACACTCATAATTTATTTTCAATATGTTATTTTTGCTTTTAAAAACAAAATCATTGCTTGTAAAATAATAAAAATAAGTAAATTAAATTACAATTAGCTAAAATGAGCGAAAAGTAATATATTATTACTTTGCTTTGCATTGCATTTTATTTTTTGCGTTTTAGTGAAAAACTATAGCTTATTATCATCTTTTGTTTATATTTTTCATATTAATGTCAAAACCAATTTTTTTAAAGGATTAATATAAGTGATTATTATTTTATTTACTTATTATTATACATAATGATAAGATAGAAATTATTTTAAGTCTCAGATATATTGATAAACACTCAATTTTGTCTTAAATAAACTTGATCTTAATTTAACCCGTAAATTATAGAGTTTATTCAAATCTAGAAATGAGTTGAGATATAAAACCATTCCGATCAAAATTTAGAAACAAATTAAGATCGAACATATTTTTGCCGAGATTCTCTACTCACCCGTATCAAACAATCTATGATGAAATAGGTTTACTAGTTGTATTAGAAGAATGTGACCTATGTCCTGTGGTAGAGGGGTTGATATATTATATTGGTGCTGCTAAAATTAAAATACAATGAAAGGGCAATTAAAACATAAAAGAAGCAAAGATAAAGAAAGAAGTCCAAGATGGTGTAATATTCAGTTATCAACAACCTAAGCAGCTGAACTAATAAAGCATTATATGAGTTGGCAGATGATCAAACAGGCAAACATTATACGCTAGGGTAGCTATAATAATTTAAGAAAGCACACAACATAAGATTGTGACTCCAAATCAGGGTAGGAAGTTTAGGATGCCACTTGGTGAGTTTAAAACGCTTAGCCAAAGTGGGTTCCCCAGAGGTCATAAAAACGCCAATCCTAGCTACCTACTTCAAACTCTTTCATTTCGCATTGATAGGTTATGGTAGTTGAGCTTCTAAAACAACTTTGACCTTCCCAATCTTCACTTCTCTTCTTCATGCCTCCCATCTATAAATTCCCTCACCCTGCTCCAACCCAACCATCAAAATTCTAAACTTACAAACACAATTTTCTTTGTACATCCAAAAATTCCTAGTGATGGCAAGTTTTGGGTCTCTATGCCGCATAGCTCTAGTGCTAGTCATGGCTATGGTGATGGGTGCAGCATCACCATCGTACGCTCAAATCAACACGCCATGTAACGCCTCAATGCTAAGCACTTCGTTCACACCTTGTGTGAATTTTCTCACAAATAGCAGTGGCAATGGTTCCTCACCAACAACGGAGTGCTGCAGTGCCCTTAAGTCCCTCACAAGCGGTGGCATGGATTGTTTGTGTCTCATTGTGACTGGCAGCGTTCCCTTCAGAATCCCCGTCAACAGAACCTTAGCCATCTCTCTCCCTCGTGCCTGCAACATGCCCGGTGTCCCGCTTCAATGCAAAGGTAAATAGAAAAAACATTAGAATCGTAGAAAAATAAAGCACAATTCATCATAATTTTTTTATCAATGAGTCTAATTGTTTTACTTATATTTTGCAGCCTCGGGTTCCCCACTTCCTGCTCCTGGTAATGACAAACTTCCATTTCAATTTCAATATGTGTTGTGTACGTAAATATTTTTCCGCTGTAACTAAGCTTTTGAATGATTTTATTAAACATGCGAATAATACAGGACCAGTGTCTCTTGGGCCATCTCCTTCTCCTGGATCAGCTCCATCTGGATTTACACCAACCCCTAGTCCTCAAGGTTTATTATTTCATTTCAGTACAGCATGCATATTATATATTAATTATATAGTTAGTGACAATTGAGTGGCAAGAACTAATATGAGACTCTAATTTATCTTTGAACAGCTTCAACTGTTTTCCCCTCACCGACTTCACCTTCTGTGGCACCACAATCTGACACAACAACTCCACTTTTGAGTCCACCGTCTCCATCGGCGGATTCTGGCAACCCTTCTGTATCAACGGGGAGTGGCCGCACTAATCTCACCCCATCATCTGCCATCACATCTTACTCTCTCCCACCTTCTTTTCTCTTCATTGCTTTCGGATTTGCTCTTCTCAAATACTACTAGCTAGCTTCTCTGTTTGCCCTTCGCATATCTTATCAACACCTACTTTATATATATGTTTCTATATATTCTTTGCCGTGTGGCTATTGTGTTACATTTTAGATTGTTTCAGACCCTTTACTTGGGGAGTATTTATCGATTCAAAAAGCTTTTGTATTGTAATGTATATGTAATTATGTATATATGAAAAAAAGTTGGAGATTGAAGTTCTTGTTATTTTATTAGTACCGTATTAACCACTTATTTGTATTTAATTTGTTATATAGTGGCAAATCCAAAAAATAAATAAATTAGTGGGCACAACAAATAATCTATAATATTTTTAGATAACAAAAATATGATTTTTTTTATACAAAATTGATAATATCTGGAAAAAAGAAATTCAAAATATCTAATGGGAGGTAACACGCTTTATTTATTTACTTTTATATAAGTTTCTACCCATTATCTTTTCTTTTATTTTATATTTTTAAAATTCATTTAAAAAAGTATCTACGTCAGCATCCTATTAATCTAATAGGAATAAAATAAAATAAAATATATAATATATAGCATAAATATTCAACCTCATCTAATATTGGGCATTTTTGTTTAAGATTATTTCTTACAAAAAACATTTTGTAATAAAATAACTAATTCTTTTTAATATGTTTGTCTATAAAAACAGTTTTTTATTTTAATTTTTTTATCTACTCTTAAAATAATCACTTTTATAAGAATATTATTTAATTCAAAATAAACTGACCCCGTGATCTTTCTAACCATTTCAATTTTATGGTATATTTGGGCCTCGAGGTCTCACTCTGATTTTTATTTCCCTCACGCCTCTTATGTCTCCAGAAGGAAAAAAAAAAAAAAACTGACTCACATCTCACATTTTTTTTCCACTCAGATATAGTTTGAGAGATGAGGGAAAATAAATTGTATTGTAATAAATACACGAATCCGTAGTTTATCATAAAATAAAACATTTTTAGTTACTTAGAAATTATATATAATGTATATAAATAACTAATAATTAGTTTGAAATTAGCCACTAGTTTTTTATTTGTTTTTTCACACCATTTTTTATTTCTTAAAATTGGTAACATAATTTCAAAATTCCATTTGCAATTAACATTTATTATTTGAAATGTTACAAAAAAAAAAAAAAACATGACTAAAGTAAATTAGTAACATCTATTGTTAGTTACAAATGTTACAAAAAAAAAATGTAACTCATAAAATAGTACCCTCTCAGATCTCAAATAAAAGTTAAATAATATGTATGTTAGTCTCAAATATAAATAAATTTCAACTATTTCATTCTATTTAATAATGCTATCATTAAAAATACCTTTATTTCATTGAGATTATAAATTTTAACTAATTTTACTCTATATAATGATGTCATTTTTAAAATATTCTTCATTTGTAATACCCATTTTTTTTATTATTAATTATCAATGGCATTTTCGTAAATTTTATAAAGGTATAGGGGTATTCTTGTAATTTTATTACTGATGGCATTTTCGCAATTTTCAAAAAATTTAAGGGGTGTTTTGGTAACTTGGAACGGGCCGTTCCAAAAGCAAAACGGGCCGTTCCAAGCTTAAAAATTATACTAAATTTTTTTAGTGAGAACGGGCCCAGAACGGGCCGTTCCAAAAGGAGAACAGGCCGTTCTGGTTTTGGAACGGGCCGTTCTGGAGGGAGAACGGGCCGTTCCGGAGGGAGAACGGGCCGTTCTGGATGAGTCTCGGAACGGGCCGTTCTGATTTTAGAACGGGCCGTTCTGCTTTTTGGGAAACGGCCGTTCCGATTTTGGAACGGGCCGTTCCAGTTTAAAAATTTGCGTACATTTGAAAGATTCGGAACGGGCCGTTCCGAATTCAATACGGGCCGTTCCGGGTGACTCTGGTTGCCTATAAATAGGGGCCAGGGGGGGTGAAAAAAAATATACTGAGAAAAGAGAATCCTAGAGAGAGAAAGAGGAGAGAGAGAGAAAGAAAAAGAGGGGAGGAGAAAAGAAAAGAGGAGAGAGAAAGAGGAATCCAGTAGAGGAGGTTCTGCCAGGGGAGAGAAAAGAGGAGGGAGAAGAGGAGATTCTGCCCGAGTTTCGGTCCTTGTTTAAGGAGAGAGGTGGAGGTTCTGCCCGAGTTTCGGTTCTTGTTTAAGCAAGAGAGAGGAGGAGGTTCTGCCCGAGTTTCAGTTCAGGTTTATCCAAGTAAGGGTAGTGCTTATAAAATTAATCTAGTATATATGAGCATGATAGGAATAGTATAATTTTAATATGCTATTTTATGTGGAGATTTTCATTTCATATAGTATAATTTGGATCAATTGATGGTTGTTTTGGATATTTAATTATTTATATTATTATTATATTGACAAATTGGCATGGTTATGGTTATGTTTAATTATGGAATATGCTATGTGTATGTGGTTTGGAAAAGTAAATAGGACTTAAAGGAGTAAGGTTATGGTATGGATTAGATCTCTTGGTGAGATCAGGATATAATCTTTGGAAAAATATGGAATTTGGGAATCCCATGGTGAGGATTCCAATGTGGAACTTTTCCAAAGGTTATATAATAAACCACTTCAGATGTTAGGTGGATTCTGAAGTACTCCTTTAAGTATTCTATTTGCTACCGGTATGGGGGCAAGGCCGAGTCATACCGATGGATGAAGTGGCCATGATCACCAGGGTTACGTGACGACGCAATCCAACTGTATATTTTCCATGAGAGGTTCGGAGTGGGACATGGGTTGATCACCTGTTTCACCGTATTTGACACTTGGTCTGGATGGTGTCGAGGCCAACATTTGGTTTGGATGTGTTGGTTACATCATGGATTATACAGTGGTGTGACTTTGTTTTGGATGTGGAATATGTATACATAGGGTATGGATTGTATACGTTGGTTATGGATTTTCTTATTATCATAAAATATGTATGCATTGACATGGATGTGTATACAATATATTGGTTTAAATTTAGAATGGAAATGACTTTTTGGCATGGATAAATAATGTGGATAAATATCTGTTTAATGATATTTTATTATGATATATTATGGTTGGTTTTATATGTGCTAACCCTTATGTTTCCATGTGGTTTGGACTGTGATGATCTCACTATGTGGGGGAGCAGATCAGGTGTGAGGCCTTGGGATAGCAAGGAGTCTTTTGGATAGCTGCTTTGAGAAGTGGCTAGGTTTAGAGCTTGACCAGCACCTAGGGTGTCTAACTTATATTTCATGATGATGTTTTCATGACATTGTAATTATATTATCTTTTTGGATTACTGTATAACTTTACTGAGGATGATGACTCTGCTATAGAAGATTATATTATATATTTTGGAAACAATTTATATGTTATTGTATATTTACACTCTAGCGTAGCTGACTTTTGTTCTATTTTATTTATTTTATATTATTTTATTTTGGTTGGTTATTGATGTGACGGCCTAGGGTGGGTTTACATCATTTAATTGAGATGTATTTTAATGAAAAGTTATTTAAAAAATTAGTTAATTTTTAAATGAAAATAATAAAATTAAATGATGTTAACAAAAAAAATTTAAGTTAGTACGGATTAAATTTTTTTTCCTTATTGAGATTGGAGGGAATAATATTAAGCACTAAAAATGTTACGAGAAAAATGTAACTCAAAAAATTAGTAACATCTATTGTTAAAAATGTTGCAAAATATATATATATATATA